ATTTTCTCGTGGATTCTAATGAGATCATTCTCAGCCGGTGAGCCAACCTAAACTTATGAATCCCCAATTCTGGCTGATCTAGCCTCAAAGCATAGAGTAATAGGGGAATAATGGCAGCAACAGCAACAGCATTAACCTCATAAGATATTTAACCATTAAGATCTGCCTCGTACTCTATTCCTTGCTAAGATTTGACCTCTGGTTCATCAACTCCAATTGCAGAGAACTAACGGTGTTCCAACTTCTAAGGATGGGTTCAATATCCCTTCTTCTAATAAGCTGCTGAAGGTGAATGGGAAGTTGCTAATTTTAAAGCTAGCACCTCGAATCAGATCGCTTAAGCATTATCAAGTAACCCATTACCATTACTAGAGTACGACTTTCAGCTCAAACTGCTCGAATCACTTAAACAAGAACTGGCTAACACCAAATTGGAACCCTCAACTCCAACAAATGGGGAAATAACTTGTCGCCATAGCAGAAATCGGAGCACCCAATTGCCGCCCACTCCAACCCAATTAAACCATAACTGATTCCAAATGCATACCTAGACATAGCGGCAGATGCTCGGGTGTGTAAATATCTAGAACCAGAGGCGGAGATTGAACTTACGCTCGCGAGTGATTTGCTTGAAATTCTTGTAGTCGGCACCGTAGGAGGAGGATGAGGAATCGGAGTCGGAGAACGACATGGCTACCCGGTCAACTCGGCTTCGATGCTGCAAATGATTCTCCCGCCGGCCGGACGATCGGGTGGATCCAGCAACGAGGATTCGCAGGAGGGAGGCAGGGGAACGTGCAGTGATTGAAGTAGAGAGAGGACGAAAAAGGTGTCGAGAGAGAGATCAAAAATTGAAAAGCAAGCGTGACGGGGACGAGGAAGGAGAGAAGAAAATGAGAGGACAATTATGATTATTATTAATATTTTTCTTAAACACGAAGGTAAATAGGGTTTGTCTGTTTTTTACCGTTTAACTCATTAATAATTCTGCCGTCCACAAACGGTTAAAGAAATGTTGACGACTAGGTCCTATAAAAAAATGTGGGCGACTAGTCTATCTGGAAAGAAACTTGTTAAATAGTACAATAATGAATGTATTTTATGCTTGTTAAGAATGTGAAAATGTTCGTTTGTATACGAAAATGATAATTGCATTAGTTGATTATTTATTTTTTCATGGATATTATTATATAATTACATTTAATTATATATTTATATTATATACAAATTAAAAAGGACACAACTAATTTGAACCCTCCCTCTGTCACTGCTTAGCTAGATTGATCTCGAAAAGGACATACTATTTTGGTCTCTTATTCAACTTTTATTATCATATATTATAACAGATAGATTAAGTTGTTACACTAAAATTTATAATTTCACTCACGACTTAGATTGTTTGCATTCGTTTTTCAAAACCCAATTGAGTCATTCAGAATGATTGTTGTCATTTACCTATGAGTTTATTCATATAATAGAAAACATTTGGGTTACTGTTTTATTCGGAGAGGAGGATTACGCGAGAAGCTGATGTTATTTGAACAATACGTGGTGTGTCTATAATCTCTTAATCTATTCAACGTCGAATATCTAAGAATCGATGATGTAATAGAACATTAAAGTATTACCAAATGTAAATCACATTGTTAATCGTTGAGAATATTGCCTATTACCTCTTATGGGATGATGTATATATTACGTAGCTTAACCAGGTAATCCCAACTTTTGACTTAAATTGGTTTATAATTAAGAAGCTTCTCTTCTTCAATCCTTTTCTGGAGTCATTTTTATTAATTTGATTGTATTCGTTTCCCGTGTTTACTAATAAAACGAAAGGGACTTGACAAAAAATATTCCAACGACACATGGATTGCATGCGGTTGTTGAAAATTACACACACAGCAGCGTTAATCATCCAAAGAAAGGAAATCACGTAAAGGAACCATTTGGGAAGAATCCACTGTGCATTCACACGATTATTGCTACTCTATAAATTAACTTTGCGGCTTCTGTAACCAACGGGGATGGGCATGGAAATTTCCTCCTAACTTAATTAATAATTAATTAACAAGAGAGTTTGATGGCAGTAAATTGACTAAGGAACTTTCTGGTTCAGTTTGGCCGAGTCTCCTATGGTTGTCCCCTTCCCCAAGCAACTGTCATCCCATTCCTATGTATGAATTACGAATCATTCAATTAAAACAGGCCAGCTAAACTGTCATCAATTTGGTGAGGGAAAAATGATAAATGAATCAATGAGATAATTCCATAAATACATGTTAATTTGCATGATAAATTGATGAGATTGCAGAAAAGTATAAGAGATACGTGCTTGACTTTTTTGTGTGTGAAGAACTAGAGATATTATAACATCTCAATCTTTTTTCTCATCGAATCAATTATGTATGGTTTTACTTTTGGAATGTATTATGGTGACTTTTGAAAAGATTACTCTTCTTTGCACTGTTTCATATTGAGTACATTTAATTTTTGAGTTGTTTCAAAAACTCATCTATTTCATTCAAACGCTTCTTTTCTTGTTAATTTGAATGGCTTATTATTGTTTTTATTGTTGATATGATATCTGTTTACATTGTTTGCATGTATCACTATCACTCATCCAATGATATAAGCAGAGGGCTGTGATTAGGACTGCAAACGAGCCGAGATAAGTCGAGTTTTTGCTTAGATTGAGTTCGGCTCATTAATAAATGGTTCAGCTCGATCTCGGTTCGAATTCGAATTTTGATAATCCAGCTCGAGCTCGACTCGATAGAGCTCGACAAATGCTCATTAACACAACTTGTCAAGCTAAGTACAAGCTCGACTCAAGATGAGCTCGATTTGAAATCATTCTTGCTGAAAAACATGTACACATAAGAATTTAAACGATTAAAAGAACACTGAAAATTAAAAATAACATCTAACTTCCATACACATCCGTATTAACAAGATAATATTCATGTTCAGAAGAGTAATTAATCCTTCTACTAGCTCCAAACAAGCCAACTCATGAGCTTAGCTCAACAAACCACCTAGTAAAGTTAGCTCACCAGCTTATCAAGCCGAGCATTGTCTAGCTCAAAATTGGCTCGTTTACTAATGAATTGGCTCGCGATCCGACTTGTTAAATAACGAGCCAAGTGTCAAACTAGTTTTCCCTGATTCGAACGCCGATTTGCTCCCGAGCGGCTGTTAGTGATGGCAATGGGGCGGGGCGGGGCGGGTACCTCAATTCTCATGCCCCGCCCCACGCTACTACGGGGCGGGGCGGGTAAAACCCGCGCGGGTACGGGGCAGGACGGGTCGACCCACTCTTACATGTTGTTCAAAAAAATACAAGTAAATTTTACTTTTTACAATAAAACATAGAGAAAAACACTTTAAGAATAAAAAATATTGATAATAGAGCCTAACAAGTTGAAAGATCGACTCTAACTAGTTGAAGAAAAGTCAAAATAGGAGAAATATGTATAGATATTGTAAGAAATTGAGATAAAATGAGTCTAGAATGGGGCGGGGCGGGGCAGGGCAGTTCGGAAGTAGATATCCATGCCCCGCCCCACGCTACTGCGGGTCGGGTAATACCCGCCCCATCACGGGTCAGGTCGGGTAATACCCGCGGGGCGGGTTGAAATTGCCATCACTAACGGCTGTGCTCATTTGCACGAACAAGGGATTGGTCTAGTGGTAATACCACTAGCCATCAACCTGGAGGTCCTAGGTTCGAGTCCCTTCAGTAGTACCTAATAACAAAAAAAAGTAACATATATCACCCTAATCTAAAAAAACCGGCTGTGCTCATTTGCCGTCCTAGTTGTGATCTCTTTGCTAAAAAAATCCATTTAAGTGGAACGGACATGGACTAAAAACCTAATAGGCCCATTCTATGGAAAGAGCTGGGATAAAAAAGGCTTTTCCGTTTGCGAGACTGGGCCACTTACGAATTCCTCATTGTCTTGGACCGACTCCATGTGCAGGTGCGGCGGTACACAGATACTGGGCCCTTCAACCTCACATAATAACCAAAAGCTCCCCAACAATTTTTTAACCCAAGTCTTTTGATTAATGATGATTACTTATTAAATAATCTCTCCCCAAACCACACACACACTTGCTGATTTTATTATTAGCGATTAGCTTTTGACACAGAAAAGTTTAATACCTTTCCCCCCCAATTTGTATCAACCATCTGCACGTTCCTTCCTGCTAGTGTATGCAACTTTTTGGACCGATCGAGAAGCCATTTCATTCTACATTAAGCAAAGAAACAAAAAGTCTGCCCTTTAATTACCATCTGTCTAACCTCACTCAAGCCCTAGTAGTCTCTCTTCTTCTGTAGACTGTAGTCCTAGTTGCAGAAACAGAACAAAGGGCAAACGAACAAAATCAAATCTTCCACTTTTTTGCAGGTAATAATTGGGAGTATCGTCACTTTTCAACCCCGTTAAAGCATCAATCACAGCGGAAAAGGTTGCAGATTGGTTGCTGCTACGCTGCCTCTGCCTGTACTCACAGCACGTATGTATGGGTCTAATCTAAACCACAGTTATCAATCAACATGTTCATGACTCTACCAAAAGGTCCAAGCCCCACCTTTTCCTTCAAACTGAAATGGTATGAGATCAAATTTGACTATATGCTAACTCGAGCGATGAGCATGTGCTGATGTTATTGAATCATCTTCTCATATATTTTTAATCATTGGATCGGACGTGATGATAATTTTGTTAGATAACACCAATATTCCAATCAAACAACTAATAACATATAGGCATATGCAAGTGCAATTAGATAAACCAGGGGAAGAACATGAAATGCCAAATGTGCTGGAGCAAAATGCAGGAATGAGATTGACGTTTCGTTAGCTGACAGTGGAACCACCATGTGCCATTGCAAGCCTGGCCGTGAGGGTGACCACAAAACCCAGCTCAAGAAAGCAACTGAGAGATGCAATAAAAAAGAAGGGGAAGCAAAATTGCATCCTGCAAATTGCAATCGCCCAAGCTTCCCTCCTCCTCCCCAGTCCTTTCTGCTTATTCTATATAGCTGACTTTTTCGATCCCATAAAAAGAGATTAAAAGAAGACGGGGGGAAAAAAAACAATAGAGCTTCAAGTCCAAACTCCAAACCCTAGAAAACAAAACAAAGGACAAAAGAACAATCCCCCCAATCCGACTAAATTCACCAACCCAACAAAAGTTTACCCACAAAACGCCAATCCCCGTCCACTAAACTCCCCACATCAACTTTTCTCTTTCGGATTCCGTTTTCTGTTTGTCACTAATCAACACAAAGAATGTCTTATCCGCAAACATGACATATTGGCTAACTTCGTTAGATTACTTCGTCGGCAGGATTGCGAAGAAAAACTTGGCAAATGCAAGAGCCGATCGACAATAACTCGTTTCGAGACATTATTACCCATCATATTGCAAACGTACTATGGCTGCACTCAGAACAACAAGCTAATATATTCAATTCAATTCTCCATGTAAAACCGGAAAACAGTATCACAAAATGAAGCAAATCATAATCCAGATCCGATACGGATTCATCACTAACACCCAATCTAAATCACGGAGTTGGATTGCACGTAATCACACTACTAGTACTACTACTGCTACCATAGTTATGGTACCTGCACAGAACCTTGCACTTGACGACGTTCCCATAGACATAGAACCCGGGGGCGACCATGATTCGAACCGTGGCTGGGACCAGCTTCCTGGCTCGATCTCCACCCATATCCTCCATGTAAACCGACTCGAATCCCACACCTCGGTCCACCCGAAACACGGGAAGTCCTGGGTGGACCGAGTTGGCTAGCAGGTGAACTAACCAGACGGCTTTTGAAGCTCCGAAGAAAGCCTGGAGCAATGGCTCCGGCCAGGCTCGGTTCCAGCCCAGCATCGCCACGATCTCGTTCATCTTCCTGTCGCAGAACCTGCTGAACTCCTCGCTGAAATGGCGCGTCCCTTTGCTCAGGACTTCCTCCCACGTCAGCTCTTTCAGGGTCTCGAAGAGGGAGTAATTTGCTTCGCATCTGTCGATTGGGTTCAGGATCTGGAGGTTGGAGCTTTTCTGGAAGGCTATGGTCTCGAAGTCTTCGAAGAAGGCTCGGTTGAGGAGGGACTCGAGGTAGAAGACGACCCCCTTGGGGTTTTTGGAGAGAGAGATTTTGACGTCGTAGGGGTGGAGCAAGGCGGACAATTTGTCGAACACCTTGCCTGCGCCCATCTGTCGGAGCTGAAGGGTCAGGGCTCGGGTCAGGACCCGGACGGAGGATCTGGATTCGGAGACGGCGAGGAGGAATTGGTCGACGATGAGCTTGTTGCCGCCGTCGTCGAGGGTTTTGGGGTTGTAGAGGGAGGAGTACGGGGAAGGCGAGATGTTGTTGCTGCCGCTGCTGCACTCGTCGAGGCCCGATTTCAAGTTGCGGCAGTAGATTTCGAGCTTGTTGAGCTTCTTCTCGAGCTCGGTCATGGAGTATTTCAGCCGGGAAGCCTCGAGGATCGCCTCGTCTCTCTTCCTCGTCGTCTGAATCAGCTTGTGGGAGAGCTCCGCGACGGCCAATTTCCACTGCTCCTCCCTCGCCGACGAGGCACTATCCCCGCCGCCAACGCCGCGGTCGGCGGGGGACGATTTGGGGCTTTTCCTCGCAAGGGAAGAGAAAATAGATTTGAAAATCCCGTTGGGGCTGGGAATCGAGGAAGGAAACGAGTGCCTGCTCAATCCGCCATTGCTGTTGCTGCTGTCCAGAGGAACCACGAAGATCTTCTCCCTAGCGTGAGGGCGGCACTTGTTGCAGGACACCGAACCGTCATCGGAAGAACGCGAACTCTCCCTACCGGAATCCTGCCGCTTCTTGCTGCCCCGTCCGCCGGAAATCTTGCTCTTCTGCTCCTTCCTCTCGTGCAGCGGAGTGGGGTGGAGCTTGGGAGTCGATCTGGGCTGGCTCCTCGACTCGCTGTAATCGTCCTCCTGCTCTTCTCTCTCGCATTCCTGAATCTGCAAAAACAACAACAACAACAACAACCCAAATCAGGTTACCATCGACCCAGTACCCAGAATTTTCTCAAACAGAGGCTGATTGATTAATGTTGATACTCACGGGAGTGAAGTGGGAGAAGTGGTAGGAGGACGATAGCAATGGCGGTGGAGGGGGAGGAGGGTTGGGCGAAACAGGGGAAGAGGACGAAAGAGGAGAAGATGAATAAGAAGATGGCGCCATTGATTGGATGAGAAAGATGCTTCCTTTTTCCTTCCTTTGTTCAGAGCTTAGTAATAGCTATGGCGGGGGTGGTCTGAAGTCTGCATCTTTTTAATAATGACAGAGAACTAATCCCGATGGGAATCATATGAGGGGGTCGCGGGGTGAGGGTGACTCTGTTTTCTCGGCTGATTTTTAATTTGGCGATTAGGGTAGATGGATTAGGTAATGATAAACAAATAATTAGGGGCTTCCATTTCGTTTTCTTGAGGTTGAGAGGTGCGGGAGAGAGATATTGGTTTGTTCGTCGTCGTCTTGTAATTATGGCGGTAGATTTTGGGCGCAGACTGCAGAGGGAGCGTTGGGTTAAACCGTGAAGTTATAAAGCTTTCTGGCTGTTTGCCTGTCTTCGGGCGGGGTACTGAGTACTGACCATGTGAGATGTGGGTTCACAGCTACTGCACCACACCAGGATTATTTTTATTTACTGTTTTATCTGTTCGTTTATTTTTATTTACTGTTTTGCTTTCAGCTGGACAAGTAGCTCATTTGAGAGTTGAAACTCTTTTGGCATATGGGGTAGTATGTTTCCAGACTCTGTTTTTCCTGTACTCTGGTTATTCACTTATTTGCTTATTTTTGCTGTAATGATAAGCAAGTACTTAAGAGGTATATTTCCTTTTTAAACGGTCACAAAATGGCATAAAATACCATTGGGGTAACAGTAACACCCTATCTCATTACAAGTTAAGCGTCTTCTCATATCATATTGTTCTCTGTAATCTCTCGTAAGTTTGATTAGTGAAATATATGTTATCATTGGTTAGTGAGTATTGTACATCTATCCAATATCCGGTGAGTATATATGTTGACAGAGAATGTGTGCTTAGATTCACTATTAAATCACCCTAATTAATTCCAACCACGTGATAAGACGAAGTAACACAAACAACATGAACATCCAAATTCAACCTAACCTAATATAATCATAGAAACCAATATAAGATTTCAGCCTAAACATACAACCCTGTTGTCATCCCATTCAAATTCATCCACCCGCAGTTGGGTTGGGTCCATACTAGAAAGGAGAAGAGTGAAAAAGAAAAAGGCAGAAATTGAAATATTAGAGCCGAGGAAGGTCAATGTCGTGGTCCTGGTGCCATATGCAAAACTAATGGAATTCCCAGCTAGCAACCAAAACTCGAGATTTCATGTGCACACAAAGACAGTGTAGGTCAATGGGATCGACCCTCGAGGCACAATCTGTCCACTTCTTAACGCAAAGCTCCTATCCACAACTCTCTGCAACCAAACCAACCCAGCCCAGCTAACTCACCCACGTTGCATCGTCACCCTTCCACGTAGCAGCAGCATTCAAACTAACCGCATTACAATATTTAACCCTCCCCAGAAAATGACGTGTTAGGCGCCAGAAACAATGAACAACTTTAGTTTGTAGATTCTCTTTTTCAAAACCAACAATATCTCTCTCTTTTTTTTTGTTTGTGAGGACTGAGGATGCATAGAATATACCTTCATTAAACTTTAACAATATTAATAGTGAGTGGACCATTTTGAGTTAATCTTTCTTTAAACATTTTTTTAAGAGGGAGTTAATGGTTTTGATTGGGATGGATTACTAATCACCACCATCTCAATTAATGGAAGTAAACATGATGATGGTGTTGTAGACTGTCTGGAACTCTCTTCTGGTGGTGGTGTTGCAAGCTTTGTGCTAAAATGATTGGACTGCCTCTATATTACAAATATATGTATACTTAGCTCCCAATTCGTGTCACAAAATATAACTTAATTCAATCAGTAGTTGGTCATCTGTACACTGGATTATTTAAGTATCATTTATCAGCAGTAGTTGAGCTGGATTAGTCGATTTGATAGGCAAACCGTATATATATATATATAGACAGTCATCAATTAGGGCACGTAAATTTACATTTTCAGGTTTGGGTTTATATGCGTAGGCATCGGGTTACATCATTGGAGTGAAGCATGCCATGGATTAATTCATGTTTAGGTGAAAATTAAAGGGCTCTAGCTTAACCACCTTTACTAAAAGAGAGTGGAACCACCCTAATCTCACTTCAAGACGCTATCCTAACATTAGGGTATGTATAGGGAAATTACTTGTATTAGTGTATGTGTGTAGAGAATTGCCAAACCGACCCAAATGTGCGATATATATCATCATCAACAACACGGTGCATTGAAGTAGAAGCGACGTCGTTATTGGAAAGACTAATTTGTTGTCCAATCGGAATATTAGGTTATAGTTCGAGCATTGTCTTTGATCCTCAACTCTAGCCCTATTATCAAAGCTCAAGAAATTCTTCGAATACATAATGTGAGGACTAATTGGGTTGCTCTTTCTCTTGCTATATCTAATCTTTTAAATAATTGAATCAATATTCTAAACCTGATTTCTTATAATATGTAACTAGGGATAACAATGTGGCAGGTTTTGGGATGGGTTTGCCTAAACCAATCCATCCCCATTTTCAAATACTCAAACTCATACCCGCCTCATACCCATGCGGTGGAAAGTTTTACAAACCCATCCCCATACCCGCGGTTTTCGGATACCCATGGTTAATACCCACCTCATCAACTACTCACCATTAATAAGAGAATATGGTGACAAATATGGATACTATCCACCCAAAATTATGAAACTAATACATAATAGGATAAAATTACGGTTTGGTTGCCAGCAGTTACATTTTAACACTTTGTTATTTCTTTTAATTACCATTCATTCCATTGACAAGTTATAATAGACTCCTTATATTTTATCTATATAACATAATATCTGGTGGGGTGGGTTTGAGTATGAGTCTAGGGTCGAGAAGTTCAAAATCATACCCGCTCATACCTATCAACATTTTTGCGGATTTTACCCATACCCAGTCAACGCGAGAAATGGTTTGGTTGCCAGGTGGTAATCGACATTTCAGTAAAAACCAACAAGGGCATGCAGTCGTTTTTGTTGAATAAAATAAAAGAGGTAGCGAGGTAGCTAGCTTGGACCATGCAAACAGTATGGCCTTGGAATGGAACCTTACATAAATGCTTCACATTGAATTACGACAAGACTGTGCTCAGTGGCTCTACGGCTATGGATATCACACCTTGAAGTGCTGATCAAGAGAGATCGATAGTCTCTCATTTCCCATTGTGTCCAAGATGGTTTACCTTTACCATTAATTGCCTTGATCAACATTCTTCTTCTTCTTCAATGCATGTGATGATGGATGTGCGGGAATTTCTGAAAGTCAAGACTCTAACTGCCTGCCAATGATGAAATATAACCACCATTTTAACTAGTTATAGTTAGTCGCCTTCATTCTTAAGTACCATCTAATTGCTTTTCTTTACACCCTATAATGGCTTCTGGATGGACATCTAATATGGTGGTGTACATTAGGGGTCATCAAGATCAATATCACCCTATTGATTATGCTCAGGATTAGGTTGGGACTAGAATGTTGTCTGGTGTAAAAGATTAGGATCAATTCAGTTAGTTTAGTATATATAGAATACCGTAGCTAGCCAGATTTGGCATGTTAATTAGGAATTCGAGTTGGGCTAGTTACGTTGATTAGCATCTGATTGCAGCATAGAGCGAGTCTAGCTTCACGACTGTTAGGTTTATCGTAAGTTTTTAACGTATTCTTACCAATATTGATACCTTGCACGCCTGTATAAAATATTTTTGGATCTTTATGACCGTATGACCCGACTAACATTTTTCCTACCAAAATGTAAACCTAATTGTATGAAGTATCTCCCATTCCCCCTCGTCGACGAGTGATTATAACATATTGAATCATAAATTTTAACATTTTCACTAATAATTATAACAACCGATATATAGATTCACTTTGTACTCTGCTTTGTTGAACTATATATATATATATATATATATATATATATGTCGAGCTCAACATCACTTAATGTGATAAGCTTAGATAAGGTGGTTTAATTATCTCACTTGTATCATCAATTCATCATTCAGATTATGGATCCAAAGCCAAATCTCACTTGTATCATCATTCACATGTATGACAGGTACTCTTTTAGATTAGTTTGGTTATGATAATCAAGTGAGCAATAATTTATTATTTGACCAAACAAGAGAAAAGTAAACCGACAATATGAACGAACTCGTGACCTTAATTAAAACCCAACTAGCGTCCACGCCATGGGATTTTGTAACGTTCTGCAAATATATTTTACAGTGCCCCGCAACACAAGGCACTCCAGGGTACAACATTTCACATGAGAACACTTTTCTGGAACTTAGCAGCTTAATTTCCTTTTTGGTCTCAAGTGTGTGATATTCATATACATCCATGAATTGTATAACATCATCAACCAGTAGGGTTCCACAAAAGCATGGTTAAACACTATGTATAATATACCTTCCTACTTGGTCGAGCCAACTATTGTAATGGCAATTTGAACCAACCTTGTTGCCTTCCTTTATTTGTATTTTTTCTATTTTCATTTTCTTGAATGATATTTCTCTGAAGCCGAATGAAACTCATACGTATCTGCGTTAAGAATGGTAACTATACACTGGAATCACTAATAGTTAGAGGTGGCAATTCTCAATCCAATCCACCAATCCAATCCATCAATCCATTAAAAATATCAAACTAATCCAATCCATTTGATCCAAATCCAATTGGATTGGTGGATTCATTGATTGGATCCATGGATCATAGGAAAATTACAGTTTAGTACCTATAATTTTTTATTTTTTACATTTTGGTACCTAAAATTTAATTTTTGTACAACAAATACCATTGGAAAATTACGTTTTGGTACCTAAAAATTTTCATTATGACACTTTAGTACCTAAACTTTTTGCATTTTACACATTGGTCATTGGTTGAGAATATCATTTGGATTCATGGATAATTCACCAATCCACTTTATCCAATCCATTTGATCCATAGATCCACCAATCCAATCCATTTGCCACCTCTATAATATGCAATATGGTCACTATACATGAGTATAATGGCGATGAATGGAGGGTAGAAAGAGTGTCACAGTCGATCGTATTGATTATACAATATGGTGTTGGCGATTGATGGGGTCTTTTCCATTAAATTTAGAGGCTTTTCCCCCTTCTTTTTCTGTAAGGAAAGAGCCCCACAGGCAAAAAAAACCCACATTTAATGTGATGCCATGCTCTCCCTATCCCTCAACTGCCCACTCGCATTTATTCTATTCCTGCGCTGTGGAGTAGTAAATGGCAGCACCAACTCCTCCCTGCCTGCCTTTGCGCACAACTCACCGCCCGCCTGCCTGCCTGCTCATCAGCTCTTCCTTCTAGCTAGCTTCTTTACACTTTCTGCCAAAGGCAGCGAGCGAAGACTTGCAGAGACGACGACAACACTATTCTATAACATAGCACATAAATGCATGTGAAGCCATTAAATGTGGCAAAACGCCATTTTCCAGTTTATGGCTGCACGGGATGGCAGCTAGCTATAGCTAGCGTGGTCGATATAATACAGTACAACTTGGGTTGTGGAAAGAAGATTGGCGACATTTGCACTCTCTATCTGACCCTATTTCTTTATCACCTACTTGCTCTACAGAAAGCAAGGGAACCCCTTTTTAGGGAGATAGAGTTTACGCCCGACCGCTATTTCATTATTTTGCCCTTTCTTAAACAAAATTCGGATCTAAAACTATCGACTTTCTATTGTATTGAATAGCGAGATAGATGTTTGAGGGATCACGTGAAATTTCTTGCTGGTTGCTTTCATGCTACCCCCACCACACAATTTCTATGGTACTTTTGTCCCCTATAGAACCATCTTGAAGTTAAGCCAATAAGCTAAGAAGCGTGCTAGGTATAAATGTTGATATACTAACAAATGATTCTTTCAGTTTAAGTATCGAGACTTAGAGTTCGAGCTAGCTCGCTTCTCGTATTTGTATATATAAAATTTGAAACTGGGTGTCTTCAAACAAGAATAAGGAAGGAGGGGTTGTTGACTTGGTGGACAACTTTGAGGAAGCATACTTGAGTTAGTGCCACTGTGCAAGAGCCTCTCTCAATGCTTCCACCAAGACAAAAAAAAAAAAAAAGACAAAAAAAAAGATAGATCATCAATTGACCCAAATTTATTTTAAATTTCCAATGACTATGACAAGGAGAGTATGTTTAGTTATTAATTGTATTGATGTCACTAGTTTTAGTGTCTTAGTAGGACATATGTTAGGTTGCTGCCCTACCTCACAGTGACATGGTTGCATGCCGAATTGGTAAGAACCTAGCAAACCATTTCTTTAATTTGTAGTTGTATATATTAAATCGTCTTAACAATAAACTTATACCTAAAATCCACAATAATTTTCGAAGCAGAACTGGACCATACAATAAAGCCCAAAATAGGCTCAACTGGCCACAGTTCTAGCCTAGGCCTGTCTAGATTTGCTCAATTATGGGTAACCGAGAATGTACCCCGGCCCAAAATATCCGCCACGTGTCTTACGCAAGTAAATCCGGCGAATTTTTTAGTAGAAAATAAGGAAAAAAAGAAAGCAACGAAAACAAAACTCATCAGAAAAGGGAACAAAACAGAAATCCAGAAAAGAAAAGGAGAAAAGGGGAAAAAAGAAGCAAGAAGACTTCCGGTCCGGACTTCACCGCCCCGGAAGTTTCAATGCTGCTCCCACGGAAATCCGACGGCGACCCATTCTTGAGCTCTACAGTTGATTGCTGAAAGTTCCTTCCTTTTCTCTATTGTCAGCTTCCCCTTTTCGATTCTTCCGGAGCTCGATTGCGGTGGAGGAAAAGAAAATGTTTCAGCAGAAATCTGGAGGAGGGGGCGGGGGGTCAATAATGGCGCTGAACGTGTTCAAGTTCTGCACTTTCCTGCGCGCCCTTGGTTCCATAATGATCTTCTTCGTGGTGGGCGTCATCGGGTTGACCTATTATGTTATCGTCGTTGAGAATTACGGCCCAGCTCTGTTCAACGGCGGGCTCGATTCGTTTGTTGCTTTCCTCGTCCTGCTTTTCTTCCATGCTTTCGTAAGCAGTTCCTCCAACTTCCTTTTTTATGGTTCTCTTTTGCTGAGATTTCGATTTGTTATGTGGTTGTGGATCAGCTGAGCTGTTGGAATTCTTGTTGATAGCTGAATGATGGTTTGAACCTCCCCTTGTTAGGATGAGATGAGATGGTAAGTTAGATTAGGTGGCAACAAGGTCTTTGCTAAGTAGCTATCGGCTGTTAAGATTCAGAAATGACGTTCTGTGGACTTCGATCATTAAATTTGGAATCTTTATCTATTGGTTGTGAATGTGAAAGAGTTCAATTCTAGACTGCTGAATTGGAATCTACATTTCCCATCTAAGTGAAGAAATCAGAACTCTAGTCGTAATAACGAGGGGCTATCTGGTTTTTGCTCTATTCAGGTCGAGTTTTTGGCTATTTGCTACTACCTTAAGTTGTTGAATTGAGCCTGCTAAACCCTGGACTCTTTGGTGGTTGTGGCATGGGAGTGAATTAGTTTGAAATCAGATCAACATAATGAGCGCTTCTTCAGAGCCAGAGACATCTCATTGATATTGGTTACACTAATGGCCACATTAAGTTTGTAGAGTAGTCCTAAATCTAGTCCAAGGCTTCACATTCTCAACTATTCAGTTGTTGTATGACCAGGGAACACACAGAGTTTGTCTTTTTAGAATTTCAAGCTTTTGGCTTCACTTGATTCATAGTATGTTGAATATTCGGTCAAATGAAGTATATTACGTACAACATTAACACTCTGCCAGTTGGATTACGTAGTTGGTGATGCTTGTTTGGAGCTACTTTACCACTATTCTGACGGATCCTGGTGGCGTCCCACAAACTTGGAGGCCAATAACAGATGAGGAGGAGGGTGGTGTTGTAGATCCATTGGTGGGTACAGATCAAAGTACAGCTGGTTTAGTTCTAAACAAGGATCAAATGCAGAAAGCACGATTCTGTCGAAAGTGCAACCAGTTCAAACCGCCTCGTAGCCACCACTGCTCGGTTTGTGAGTTTCTTTTTCTTTTACTAACCAAACTCTTTTGGCATGAGTCTTAATTTGCTTTTCCTTCTAATAAAGCTATGCATTATTCGTCTCTTTGGTAGGCCGAAGATGCATATTGAAGATGGATCACCACTGCGTTTGGGTCGTTAATTGTGTCGGCGCACTAAACTACAAGTATTTCCTTCTCTTTCTGGTAAGGGCTTTTCCTTGCATGATTGCTTTATTACATTGTAATTTTTCTTAATACTTCAGATTCATTTTTGGGGGAAAGAAATTTATTAGGCATTTAGTTATGTATATTTCCTTTTGCAGTTCTACACATTTCTTGAAACAGCTCTGGTCACTGTATCATTGCTGCGGCTGTTCATAGCATTTTTTGGGGATGGTGAAATAGATGGAACTGCAGGGGATCTCGTGGCTACGTTTATTGCATTTGGTAATATTTAAAGTGTTTTATTGTTCTTTGTTTGACCATATTATGTTATGTACTGAAGGTCTTAACAGTTTGTTATACTTGTTTGCTTTGAAACAGTGTTGAATTTGTCATTTGCATTGAGTCTTCTGGGCTTCGTTATTCTGCACATATCGTTGGTGTTAGCAAATACCACTACTATCGAGGTGATGACTTCTGTTTTTTCTTTGATTGTTGTGAAGGAGGTGGTGCCTTCTCTTATATGCATGTGACATCAACGTGTCTATTCAAATTTGAAACTGATATCAAATCTTATTTTTCTCTTTCTGACCCTTTTTACAGGCTTATGAAAAGAAAACTGATCCCAGATGGCGTTACGACCTTGGTCGAATGAGGAACTTTGAACAGGTTCTTTATCATCTGTCACCTTTACATCCTTCATCCCCTAATTTGCACCTGGTTACCCCATGCATTTTCAAACCTGTCCATGTTCTTGTCAGTCAACGACATTCTCAGCATGGTATCTAGAACCCAGACCTAGAACTTGATACTGGTTTCAGCCTTCGCATTTTGCATCATCAACTTATCTGCATCACATAGCATTGTTATACTTCTGCCTCTCAGCATGGTACATGGGTTGGCTTTTGGAATCCAAGATTGCATTTCTAAACAAGATTAAAAGACACAACCTTATGAATCTCATTATAAATAACCAAGATCCCCTCATTAACTGTTGTTTTTCTGGATCAGGTATTCGGCACTGACAAGAGATACTGGCTAATCCCAGCTTATGCAGCTGAAGACTTGAAGCATATGCCAGCACTGCATGGGTTGGAGTACCCAATCAGACCCAACTTGGATGAGCTTCAGGAGCTCTGATTACTACTGCAGTCAGGGGCTAGATGACAAAAGTAACAGCTGAAATTCTGTAACATGCTTGACATTATCCCGGGTCAACCTGAAAACAAAACTGAAGGGGAAGCAGCACCAGCCAGGACCACACCAGCACTGGAACCAGCTCTCCTTGTTGGACAGATCCCTCTGACGGACTTGTGTGCTGAAGCTCATGTTGTTTTTGTTAACGTGTGCCACAACCATGTAATTTTTGTACATACTTGAGTGGAAGAAGACCCTGTAACTGTTAACACTCGGTTTTCTCTCCTTATTAGAGCTATAGGTCATGGTTTTATGAGTAAAGCTTTTAGTCTGATTGCTCGCGACTGGTGCAAATGGGGAAATCTTCCTATCCTGAGCCGTGTTTTTTACTATGAACATGACATTCTAAGCCTTACCCAGGAAAACTCACTTGCATAATATTCTTCAACAATCATGGTAGCATTTTATTACGGTGCCGAATCCCAAGTTTTAATAGATTCCTTCTTTGTTACCGGCATCGACCACAGATCCATAATGTCTGTTCTTAGTAGGGGTGGGCAATGGGCGGGTTGGGTGGATTTTGGTCTAAAATTGACTCACCCGCTTACTAGCGGGTTGGAATATATGTGACTCGCAAACCACCCACATACTTATGCGGGTTGGGTTGGGTGGATGGCGGATGGGTGCGGTTGGGTCGCGGGTTAACCCGCAAAAGCAATTCTCCAAGTAGCCATTAAGAAAATTGACTAACATTTATAATAAGTTCATAGCACATTAGAAAGATTGTATCAATAATTTGTGATTTTGATACAATTAATAATTTATAGTTTGTATCCCAATATTTAATGGATATTAACAATTATTCGCATAACAATATCCATTGCCAATGGATATTGCACAACACAATAACCAATAATAGTGGTCAAAACTATTCCTTATTCTCCACCTTTTGCAGTATATGGTCAGACTATAGTGTAGTTCGAAAATATGATGAATATTCGATACTATAAGAAACAACATTTTTCATGTAAAAATACGACGCGGGTCATACGGGTGACCCGCAATCCACCCATCATCCACCCACATAAGTGCGGGTGGAAGATTTAACAATCCACAATCCACCCACATCAATCACTCATTGCATACGGATCGAGTTATTTGTGGGTGGATCGATATCAATACGCGGATTAACCACCCACGTGCCCGCCCTAGTTCTTAGTAACAGATTCCTTCTTTGTTAACGGCATCAACACCAAAACTATAATGTCTCGAAATGGTAATGTGTACAGTTACTCGGGGTGAGTTGTTTTGTCGTTGCTAAGTACGGCTCTCCATTGCTTATGTTTCTTCGCAAGTGAATCTGGGGTCCCAAATTGTACACAGGACAGGCCTACCAAAAGAAAATTCTAACACCATCACTAGAAGTCTAGAATAAAGGACAAATCAGGAAAGAGTAACCCATGATAAAAGTAACATATACGAGGAAAAGTTGAGATTGGAAAAATATACTTGGGTCGTTTAGAAGTTGCGATTGTTAAATAAATGTATTGTTGAGAATGCATGTATAATATTATACATGTATTATCGAATTTGATGCATTGTAGAATACAACATTTGGTATGTGTGATTGTGTATGTTGCATCAGCTAAAAACCGAGACAAAACAATCTCAACAATCACAACTCACAACTAAAAGTTGAGATATAACAATCACTCAAAATGAGTGATTAGTTTCTGTCACATCACAGAAACAATCCATGTATTGTTTCGTTTAAAAAAAATAAAAAAACGATGTATAACAATACATGCATAATGACAATCTCAACAAAACAATCGCAACTTCCAAACGACCCCTTAAATTTTTTCCATTTTCCATATCAACATATTTTGCGTCATCAATAAGTCTGCAACTGCAACCAAACAACGTAGAAGGGAGAGAGAGAGATAAGTAGGAAGGACCTATCTCACAAAACTGCTTGTCAAAGAAGCTAGGCACTCAAAAGAAGAAGAAATCCTTCCCAGTAGATTTCTAGTCTGTTTACCTAGAAAGAAAAGAGGGCACTTTCCTACTACAGCCATTTACATCAAACAATTTTTTTGGTAATTAAGAACAAGTCAATCTTGAACTATATATGAAGCACTGTTCAGAGCTCCCTCGCTTGTTCCGATATCCATCCATCCATCCCTCTCGCTTCTTCATATCGTCTCCAGCAAAGATGCTGATATCCTCTTTGCCGTTATTTAAGCCAGATACCTAAACAGGTTGGCGTTCTCCTTGTCCCTCTCCAAGTAGTCTCGGGCAATCAAGTCTTCCATCCGCTTCTTGATAGCTTTGATGTCCGGCTGCAGAATACAAGATAGACAGAGACACCCCAAATTCAGAAAACCAAGTCGGACAGCAAGAATATATATGACGAAGACACGAGGCTTAATAACCGCCATCTAGCTTTGAGTGGTGATACTGAATCAGGCCTCATTTGTACTGTTAAGAGAGCATATATATAATAATATACCTTGAACATGCGGCTGAGCTGCTCCACACACTCCGAGACCAATTGCTGATGACCAAGAACCTTCCTGCTCTTCATTATGCGAACGATGGCTGCATCTATTGCATATCGCCTGTCCTTGTCAACATCTTCAACAACCTTCTTCCTTTCATCCACAACTGGAAGTGGAATCTGCAAATTAAATAAGTGTTCTATAAGTTATTGTTCCCCCTTAAACATGAAAAATGCATCTGTGAGTGCAATACTGAATACCGCAGCAATTCCTTTTTTAAAGTGGTTGAAGTTAAGAGCATAAAGAAAGTGAAATTACCTTGATCCTCCTCATTCTGTCGGTGAACTTCGGGTTGAACTCGAAGATGTCATTCGGGGAAACCGTCTTTGAACTTGGTTCCTTAATAAGGATCTTGTATTTGGCACATGACAGAGAATGCAGCAATCGGACCAAGTCATCATGACCCAAGTTTGACTGGGTCATAATCTCAGAGTAGCTGAGCCTGTCTGAGGTGTTGAACAATAGAAGTATGGCAGCCTGCAGAAATTACAAAGTACTTGGGTGTTAATAGACCGGGCAACATTTCTGCAACATTCAGACTCTTCCAATCAGATATTGACAGTACCTGATAAGTTGAGACAACCATCTCAATTTTTTTGGCTTCAAAGTTGCCGATTAGTTGACAAGACCCAAGGGAGTAAATCCATGTTAGCTTCCTATGTTTACTTTTTGTGTCGTAGAACTCTTTGAATACTTGAACGCCCCTAACCTGTATTGCAACAAGACAGAATGAATAATATGCAGGAGGAGACCTAGGGTACTATACATAACATAAAGGAAAAAACTTCACATCACCATCTCCGAAGGAAGGTTCAAATCAGAAGACTTGTAGCTTGGCCAGAATCCAGTTGTAAGAACATTGACTGACAAGTCGATACCCGGGTGCGCATTTGGGTTATTAGAAAGATAATTCTCAAACTCGTTCTGATTATCCTTTGCCAGTGTCAAATCAGTGACCTAAAAGTAAAAAGGACACCAATCAATATAAAAAGGGGACCATATTCATAGTGCAATGCAAAATGAACCTCGCATAGGCATTACCATTCCTTCCATCTTTGAAGTAAATTGTCCACCACATTGCTGCTTAAGCTTCGTCAGAATGCTCTTCTCATGCTCCTCATTAGCACTGCGTTCAAAGAGCAGGCGACGAGCAAGCTTTTTCCTACAATAATTAACAATGTTACTATAAGTATGACTGATACAGAGCAACTTAGATAGCAAATGAACTACCTAGTAAGAAACAACCAGCACATAATTATAATAATAAGCAACTTCAACCAAAAATTACCTGTAGAACTCAGCAAACAAGTCCTTGTCGCTAATATATGCAAGCAGCTTGACGACCTGCAAAATTTTCTTGTTTTATTTGGCAGAAAAAACTACCACAGAATACAAAGCATATTAAGTCGAGTGCTCATCACACTAGGCTAACCTTCTCCAATATGTCCTCAATAGCTTCATCACTAAGTTTCTCACTGCCTCCTTTCTTGAGGATGTTATCACAGAATGTTGCCAGAAGTTCAGCACTAGGACTTCCACCAACAGTTTTATTGCAGAAGATTTCAAACGCCTCTTTCATAGCCTATTCACCAGGCAAGAATGATAAATTAATGGGCAGAACAGCTAGATAAAGCAATATGACAGAGATGCATTCACATATGGATGGATCCTAACCTTGTGAAACAGAGTATGGTTCTGGAAACAATCGCTCACGTAAGCGAGATACTTATCATGGAGCTCAATCACCTTCCTTATCAGCACCTGGGAACCAAACAATACAAATCAGCAAAGAGTTGAGAAAACAGAAATCAGGGAGCAAAACAGGAGATAATTACCTGTTCTTGAACACCACCACTTGTGGGCTGCAGAAGAGGCATCAACATAAAATGTCAGATCAGAAAAATGAAATTTTAAGAGTAAAAGATTTGAAACTAAATCTCCAGGTGCTAACCCCTTTAACGATATATATATATTAAGAAACTACAAGCATATAAAGAAAAAGCAAACAATGAGTGAAAAATAATCAAAGCCACGACTGACCTGAACCACCTGGTTACTCGCAGTATCTTCAGCCTGCTGTACCAGTAACATCCCTTCGGCAGTAATGTGCTGTAAAATATACATGATGAGTACCAGAGATATAGACGGCCATTTTCTCAGTAAAATGACAATATACAATAGCCAACCTGCTTGAATATGGTTGCAACAGGATCTAGGCCTTTAGGTATCTTATGATAAAGCCTATACATCCGGGAAAGGTCATCGACCTAGATAGGGTACATAGAAATCATTAATGTTATCTTACACTACAAAAAATGTGGAGACAATCAGTTTCATGGAAATTGTTAAATCAGATATACCTTGTCATCCCTCAGCAAAGCACGACACCCAGAATTCTCCTTGTCAAGCAACTGAGTGGAGAAGTTCACTAGCAGTTCGTGTTGTACTTTCTGCATCAGAAGCAAGAACTTTAAACATACTGCACCAACAAGTGTCTTAACTCATGGGGATTTAGTAAAAGCTAAACAGTGCATTAATTGAGCAACAGAAAGTACAACCATTAAATCCCCCTAAAAATAGTCTGATATTGAACCAACCTCTACTAATTTAGTCTCGCTGCTTGAGTGCAGATAATGTGCAACTCTGTCTCTTTCCTTCTTCAAGCATTCCTCGGACTGCAATTCAAGGCTGCCTTGTTACAACAGGAGTAATTGTAGAAAACTGACTTATAATGTACCAAAACACTAAGTTATACCTTCAACATGTATGCTGGACAAGAGTCATCCACAATCCAGTTTGATGCCTTGTGGCTGTAGTAAACGCCTGTATCTTCCAGCATAGGGGCCTCAAAATCAACCTCATAGCAATCCATTTGCCCCATCCCAATCTCGACAAAAATGTCCAAG